TAAAAGGACACATTCTGCTCATGTAAAAACACACTGATTCCCGGACCGTCCTCAGGCCCGATTTAGAAGGCGATTGGGCCAGATCCGGCCCCTGGGCCTTAGTTTGCCTACCCATGCTCCAGCCACTACACCTCACTGCCTTCCTAAATTAAGTCGGCCCATAAAGATGAGGAAAGCAAAATATCCCTTCAAGAAGGATCTGAAATATTTCCCAAGGAGCTTGATGGTCCGATTGGATGTTTGAACGTGTTGGAATTTTTTCCTTTAAAACATAAAGCAGGATAGAAATGAACTGAATGATAAGAATAAGAAATGTCATTGCAAAAAAGAAAAAAAGAGATGCTTACACATTCCGTGGTGGCAACCGCAAGCCAGGTTTAAGGTGCAATTACCATAGAGTTGGAAGGGACCCAAAGGTCATCTAGGCCCAACCCCCTGCAATGCAGGAATTTGGCAATTAGCTTATGTATCTCAGTTTCTAACAATGTCTACTTCTGGCTGCAATATCAGGCCAACCTTACTGGGTCTGTTTTTTAGGACTTACCAAGGTAGAATATGTGATCAGTAAATAGGTAAAAAAATTACCACTTCTAAGAGCTGATGGTTCGCAAAAAAAGAATTTGAACTATTATTATCTTATTTATATGCTTCCCATCTCACTGGGTTGCCCCAGCCACTCTGGGCAGCACCCAACAAAATATTTAAAACACAATAAAACATCGACCATGAAAACCTTCCCTGTACAGGGCAGCCTTCAGATGTCTTCAGAAAGTCAAATAGCTGTTTTCTGAAGGCTTGCTCAGCTTTGCAGTAGGCACACAAAAACACACACCCTTTTGTGACTGGCCAAATGGATATTGAGGCCATAAAGCCTTCTGGCAACACCGCAACCCGGTTATTGCAAACAACTCGCCAAGTAACTCGCTACAAAAGGCAAACGGCTCGCTTTGTTCCTGGTTTGATTAAAGGGTGTATTGCCGCCAATCGTGGGTGAGCCGACAAAAGAAGCTCTGACAACGAGGCTTGGCAAGGTTTGAGTTTCCTCAGCATCTCCAAGGACACCAGTGGGATGAAGAAGACGCGGAGCTCTGTGTAGGCAAACAGCATTGAGAGTTTCTAAAACAAGGAGCAACGAAGAGAAGAAGTGGGAAAAGAAAATTGCCCGGCTTCTGGGTGGGCTGCTCCAAGTTGGGCAGAGAAAGGAGTTGGCAGTGGGTGCCAGGAGACGGCAAGGGGCACCCAGGTTTTGCCACCCTGTACGCCAGCGTTAGAAACCGAGGTGTGAAAGCTAGGAGCTGAATGGCACCTTAAACCTAGGTTATGGGCGCATCAATGAAATATAATTTTAATACAAAGCTGAAAATGAATGAACTGCAGCTAAAATATTGTGTTCATTTGTCGCATGGCCTAATCCTTCCCCTTCCCACATCCACTAATCTTCTTAAGAGGGTCTCTTCTCCAGTCTTCAGAGAGTAGCTGGAAGTGGGGAGGCAGAGAAAGGTCCCCCTTTCCTTCCACTCTGCAGGTTTTTTTTGTTTTTTTTTTAATTAAATTTTATTAATTTTCTCCAGTTATACATTTTATCCCGAATACAACAAGTTATGACTGTTTTGGACTTCCAACAGCGTCTCTGACAATCATCCATATTTATCACTTTGATACACATTTCTTCCTTCGTATTGCCATTATTCCTCCCTTTTCCGATTAGTTCTCATAAACAATATTTATTTATTTATTTTTTACAGTGCCTCTTGAAATCCCACTAGCGTTGTCTCTACACCGCATATATTTTTCAGATACTCCACAAATTTTCCCCACCACTCTGCAGTTTTAATCTGAAATCTTAGGCATAGCACTGTGCCCAGAGCTCATAGACTGCCCACGCTAATGAAAGTCCCTGTTGCAAAATGCACCTAGGACAATGGGAGTTTTGAACACTGCCGTACGCAAATTGTAAAAAAATGTGGTGGTTCGGCGATGGGCAGTGCTAGAAATTCAGACTTAGAAGCTGATGGCCAAATGGCACCTTAAACCTAGACTGCGGTTGCCACAACAGAGTACCTAGGCATCATTTTTTCCTACCAATGAAATTTATTATTATTATATTATTATTATTATTATTATTATGCATTTCCAGTGTTGGAAACTCAGATATATAAGCTTAAATAGCACCTTAAACCTAGGTTGCGATAGCCACAACAGAATATCCAGGTGCCTTTTTTTGAGGTGAAATATATTATTATTATTGGTATTGTTATTCATTGCATTTCTATACTGTTTTATAGTTTAAAGAAAAAAATCTCCAAGCTGCTGACAACACATTTAAATGTGAAATAAAACAATCCAGAATAAAACAAATTCATGCTTCAAGGAGAATATTTCAGGTCACTTTGCTTTGCCTATATTTATTTACCTACTGAATTTATAGAGCTGCCCTGTAGCAGAAGGACTCTAGGAAGGCAGTGGGGTGTAGTGGTTAGAGTGTTGGATGAGGAACTGTGAGATTGGGGTTCAAATTCCTCCACTCCGTCCTGAAACTCACTGGGTGACCTTGGAGTCAGTCAAAGCCTCTTCACCTACTTCACAGGGGTCGTTGTAGGGATTAACTGAGGGGGAGTGTGACTGGGAGTGGCCACCGAGACCATATAACACCGGTCCTGAAAGACCTACATTGGCTCCCAGCACGTTTCTGAGCACAATTCAAAGTGTTGGTGCTGACCTTGAAAGCCCTAAACAGCCTCAGCCCAGTATACCTGAAGGAGCGTCTCCACCCCCATCGTTCTGCCCGGACACTGAGGTCCAGCGCCGAGGGCCTTCTGGCAGTTCCCTCACTGCGAGAAGCCAAGTTACAGGGAACCAGGCAGAGGGCCTTCTCGGTAGAGGCACCCTCCCTGTGGAACCCCCTCCCACCAGATGTCAAAGAGAACAACTACCAGACTTTTAGAAGACATCTGAAGTTCAGGGAAGTTTTTAATATGTGACATTTTAATGTATTTTTAATCTTTGTTGGAAGCCGCCCAGAGTGGCTGGGGAAACCCAGCCAGGTGGGCGGGGTACAAATAATAAATTACTATTACTAACGATGTACTCTTTGGAGAAAAAGGTGGGATATGAATGCAGTGAATGAAGCTCTTCTGCTTCACTGCTTAAGAAAGCTGGAGGGCCCAGCAAGATGGAGATGTCAGCTGCCAGCCTAGCATCCAAAGGTCTCCACATGGTCGCAATCAGACCTGCGCCAGTCGCAAAACATGCCTTCCACCTGGGAATTTCTAGTACTGGCGATGGGGTTTGGGCAAAGCTTCGCAGGGAGGGGCAGGGGCAGTGACACCCCTCCCAGCCGCTGCCATCACCCTCCTGCCCTCCAAGTTCCCCTCTCTAATCTAACTCTTTAAAACAAACAGGGCAGCTCTTTTGGGGCTGGGAGCCAATGAGAAGTTCCTAAAACAGTCTGAGACCGGATTTGAGTTTCCTGTGTAGACAGGATTATTTGGAACAGTTTCAGTTCCCGGAGGGTACCTAAACCTGCAGTTCAGAGGACAAAAACTGAATGGGGATGTGCATTTTTTTAAGAAAAATTGTTGGCCTCTGAGCGCTGCCTGTCAGCACCCACTGATTTTGTCTTTTCTGCCAAACACATCTGCAAAATGCTGACAGCGAAGAGGAGGAAGAGGAGAAAGGGAAAGTCATGGAGCTATAAAATTGGAAGGTACACCAAGGGTCATCTAGCCCAACCCCCTTAAAATGCAGGAATAAACTCAGCTAACGCATCCCTGACAGATGGCCACCCAACCTCTGCTTTAAAAACCTCCAAGGAAGGAGAGTCCACCACTTCCCAAGGGAGTCCGTTCTACTGCCGAACACCTCTTACTATCAGAAAGCTCTTCCTGATGTTTCATTGGAATCTTCTTCCTTGTAACCTGAAGCCATGGGTTCGAGTCCTACCCTCAAGAACAGGAGGAAACAATCTTGCGTCATCTTCCATGGGACAGCCCTTGAGATATTTGAAGATGGCTAGCATGTCTCCTCTCAGTCTCCTCTTTTCCAGGCTAAACAGACCCAGCTACCTCCCAAGGCTTGGTTTCCAGACCCTGGGCCATCTTGGTTGCCCACCTTTGCAGACGGAGAGCAGAATTTAAGACAGGGGTCAGCAACCTTTTTCAGCCGTGGGCAGGTCCACTGTCCCTCAGACCTTGTGGGGGCTGGACTATATTGGGGGAGGGGTGAACAAATTCCTATGCCCCACAAATAACCTAGAGATGCATTTTAAACAAAAGGACACATTCTACTCATAAAAAACACACTGATTCCTGGACCATGCGTGGGCTGGATTGAGAAGGCAATTGGGCCGGATCCGGCCCTGGGCCTGAGTTTGCCTACCCCTGATTTAAGATTTCAAGCATTCAAGTTGCCACATACACACACCAGAGGGTCATCTAGCCGAATCCCTTGCAATGCAGGAATAAAAGCATTTTGCAAAATGTGCTTCCCGTAGTATATATTCTCGCAGGTGTCTCAGAAGAAAGATTCTATTGACTGCGGTCTTTTCTGGGTGTAATTGGAGTGTTTGTATGTTTTCTTCAACAGAGGTTGCCAGCGACTCTTGAGCTGAGATTCCTGCCTTGCAGGGGGCTGGACTAGATGACCCCGGACTCCCCTCCCTGTCAATCATTCCGGGATTTTATAGCTGCCATTCCTGACTCGCAGCAGAGACTGTCGCGTCATGGAAAGCCTATCCGTGGGAAGGAAGGCAGAAAGAGTTCCCCGCAGCTAGCGAGCCACCTTTCAGAGACAAAGCTACGACCGACCCTCGTGGAGATACGCTGGATTCCTTTCCAGGGGGTGGAATCCCGAGGCCGGCGCCTGGCAGGGCTTGCCAACAGCGCTTGGCAGCAGGATTCCGGTGCGCGCTTTTCCGGTGCGCGCTCGGCATGGCTCCACTTCCAAGCTGCCCGCGCTTCCTCCCGCTCCGCAATCTGCCCATGCTCCGGAACCCCACTTACCCAGCGCAGCCACGTTGCGCACCTCTCCGCGGGCCAGCTGCGCCGAATCCAGCAGGCGGAACCAGCCGTTGGGGTAGACAGGCGGCAGCTGCCCGAGCCGCCGGCTCCTGCGCGCTCGCCGGGCCGCCTCTGCGCGGCTGCACCCGGCTTCGCCCGCGTAGCCCACCTCGTCCGGGCCGCGCAAGAGCCGCAGAGGGCGCAGCGCCAGCCACGAGAGCAGCAGCACCCCGAGCAGCACGATCCAAGCCCCGGGATCCGCGGAAGGCAGCGCCCAGAGAAGCCACTCGCGCAGAGCCATCGCGCCCCACCTGCTGCGCCCGGCTGCGCGCCCGGACCTCTTATGGGCGCCGGCAGGAGGCAGCCCCACCCCGCCCAGCCCAGCCCAACCAAGAGGGTTTGGCTGGAAATTTGACCCCCGGGTGCAGCCTCCCGGGGCGCCGCTGAGGCTCTGCGCGCCTTTGGAGTGTCTGCGCTTAGGAGGAGAGAGAGTTCCTAAAAGCCAACGATCCTCTCCTTCTCCTTTCCCCGGGAGACGGCATCTGGCTCTGCAAGTTTGCGGGAGACACTCCTGGGATCGTCGGCCTTGGAAGGGACCCGAGGGTCATCTAGCCCAACCCCCGGCGATGCAGGAATTTCCTATCTGGAGGGGAGGAAGGGACATATAAAGATTTAAACAAACAAATGTTCTAAGTGGAAATAGTGCCCTCCCTGGCTCTTACAGAATCAATGGCAAGGATGATGTGCCTTTCACCCTCGGATGCACACTAGTCAGCTTCCAGATCAGTCTCAGATCAGAGGCGGTTTTAGGCTTGAGTAACAGAAGGTTGGCAGTTTGAATCCCCACGACAGGGTGAGCTCCCGTTGCTCGGTCCCTGCTCCTGCCAACCTAGCAGTTGGAAAGCACATCAAAGGGCAAGTAGATAAATAGGTACCGCTCCGGCGGGAAGGTAAATGGCGTTTCCGTGTGCTGCTCTGGTTCGCCAGAAGCGGCTTAGTCATGCTGGCCACATGACCCAGAAGCTGTACGCCGGCTCCCTCGGCCAATAAAGCGAGATGAGGGCCGCAACCCCAGAGTCGGCCACGACTGGACCTAATGGTCAGGGGTCCCTTTACCTTTTAACAAGGCTGCTGCCCTGCAAGGGTCACCAAAACAACGCTGGGGAGGGAAGGAGAGGGGTTATGCAAATTTTAGCCTTGCACAGGGCATCGCTGAATCTGAAAGCCGAAAGTCTGCCACACTCTGATTCAGCCTCTCTAGTTTCCAGTCACTCAGTTTCTCAGGACAAGCTAAGTTGGGTCTCTAGACCAGGGGTCAGCTAACTTTTTCAGCAGGGGGCCAGCCCACTGTCCCTCAGACCTTGTCTGGGGCCGGACTATATTTTGGGGGGGAAATGAATGCATTCCTATGCCCCACAAATAACCCAGAGATGCATTTTAAATAAAAGGACACATTCTGCTCTTGTAAAAACACACTGATTCCGGACTCCCCGCAGGCCGGAATTAGAAGGCGATTGGGCCGGATCTGGCCCATGGGCCTTAGTTTGCCTATCCATGCTCTAGTAGAGGGAGGGACAAATTAACAATAGATGCCATTAAAAATCACTACAAATCAGGCTCAATATCCTCTCCCCTTTTTAAAGGGACACAGCTTCTAGTTGTGTGTATCTGGCACATTTCTGATGAATACAAACATGTTCCTGAAAATCAGCTGAAAAGTAAAATTAGCCAAAAGCCAGCAGAAAAGTGACTTCCCTCAAATGCAAGTTACTGCTGGGACTCCTGCATTGCAAGGGGGTTGGACTAGATGACCCTTGGGGTCCCTTGCAACTCTTCAGTTATGTGATTATACAGTGGCACCTCAGGTTGCAGACGCTTCAGGTTACAGACTCCGCTAACCCAGAAATAGTGCCTCGGGTTAAGAACTTTGCTTCAGGATGAGAACAGAAATCGCGCAGCGGCGGCAGCGGGAGGCCCTATTAGCTAAAGTGGTGCTTCAGGTTAATAACAGTTTCATGTTAAGAACGGACCTCCAGAATGAATTAAGTTCTTAACCCAAGGTAAAGGGACCCCTGACCATTAGATCCAGTCGTGAGGGACTCTGGGGTTGCGGCACTCATCTTGCTTTATTGGCCGAGGGAGCCGGCATGTGGCCAGCATGACTAAGCCGCTTCTGGCAAACCAGAGCAGTGCATGGAAACTCAATTTACCTTCCTGCCAGAGTGGTACCTATTTATCTACTTGCACTTTTGTGCTTTCGAACTGCTAGGTTGGCAGGAGCAGGGACTGAGCAACGGGAGCTCACCCCGTCGTGGGGATTCGAACCGCAACCTTCTGATCGGCAAGTCCTAGGCTCTGTGGTTTAACCCACAGCGCCACCCGCGTCCCTTAACCAGAGGTACCACTGTATAAATCAGAATGGCTGAGGGAAAGCTAGGATCAAGGAGCATGATAAATAGGGCTAAAAGAGAGCAGGAACTGAGTCTCCAAAGTTCACAGCGAAACGTGACCAGGCTCCTTCTGGTCTCATCTCACACACCAATCTGAGATCAACAATCTGGGCCACTGACTGGATCCAGGAAGCTCTTTTTATGTTGTTGTTTTCAATACTGTTTTTACTTTTTTTCATGGTACAAAATATAAATTTTGAGAAAACAATTGTTACCACAGTAAACTTGTCCTGATAAAATTGCAGACTTTTTATCATGCCATGTGTTTGAGGTTTCATTTCATTACTCTAAGAGATCACACCACGTTTCCAGAAGAGTTCTGGGGAACTCTGCCACAGTCTGAACAATTTATGCATTCAATAAACATTTGCCATATGTCATAAAAGGGATATGGATTGTGTTTGCCCTTTGCTGCTATTGCCTGGCATGTTACTTTCTCAGCCAATGCTATTGACCATACAATGGTACCTCGGGTTAAGTACTTAATTCATTCCGGAGGTCCGTTCTTAACCTGAAGCTGTTCTTAACCTGAAGCACCACTTTAGCTAATGGAGGCTTCAGCTGCCGCCGCACCGCCGGAGCACGATTTCTGTTCTCATCCTGAAGCAAAGTTCTTAACCCGAAGTACTATTTCTGGGTTAGCAGAGTCTGTAACCTGAAGCGTATGTAATCTGAAGTGTATGTAACCCGAGGTACCACTGGTACTCTGTTATACAGTGGTAATTCGGGTTACAGATGCTTCAGGTTAATAATAATAATAATAATAATAATAATAATAATAATAATAATTATTATTATTATTATTATTATTTATACCCCGCCCATCTGGCTGAGTTTCCCAGCCACTCTGGGCAGCTCCCAATCGAGTGTTAAAAACAATACAGCATTAAATATTAAAAACTTTCCTAAACAGGGCTGCCTTCAGATGTCTTTTAAAGATAAGATAGCTGCTTATTTCCTTCACATCTGAAGGAAATGTGGGTTTCCCTTGCTGAATCCAGTATCCTTCTGGTCAGGACCAGACCTGGAGGCAGGGATAGTCCTCAAACAACGTTCCACAGGGCGGTTACAGGCGCTTCAGGTTACAGACTCCGCTAACCCAGAAATAGTACCACGGGTTAAGAACTATGCTTCAGGATGAGAACAGAAATCGCGCAGCGGCGGCAGAGGGAGGCCCCATTAGCTAAAGTGGTACCTCAGGTTAAGAACAGTTGCAGGTTAAGAATGGACCTCCAGAACAAATTAAGTTCTTAACCCGAGGTACCACTGTACCAAGAATCTATGTTCAGCCTATCACCAGCATAGGAGACCAGCAGGAGACTGCTGCTGCTGCTCTAGTGAGTGCTGGGAGGACCGCTCCCTTTCCTGCCAACTCCATCTGGCCTAGGGAGTGGAGCCTGCACTCACCGCCACAGTTTAGAGGCCTGAGCAGCTCCCTGCAGCAAGTGACAAAATGGTTTTTAAATGTTTTAAGTGCTTTTAATTTGCTGCACCTTAAATGGTGGTTGTTGTTTTTTTATAATATTTTATTATTTTATTTCTGCTTGGGTTTGGAGAAGTATTTAGTCAGGGTGGGGAGTAATTTAATTTTAGCACTATTGTTTCTTGCTTTGCTTTTTTATTATTATTCTGTTAAGTTATTATATAGTTTGTATTTTGCTTTTTAAGGGGAAGGGTCAGGGCTGCCTGGGAGTGGGCCTCAGCCAATAGAATGGCTGGGGCAGGTTCCACAGGGGGGAATGTATTGGGACACCCGATCTCAGTGATCACGGGCAGGAGGAGGAGTTACGCTAAGACCAGACTATGTCATTACCGAGGAGGCAGGGTTAGTCGTTGTCTGAGGACTATCCCTGCCTCCAGGTCTGGTCCTGACTGGAAGGATACTGGATTCAGCAAGGGAAACCCACATGACCTGAAAGTGTTGCTGTGCAATGCCAGGTCAATGATGAATAAAACCACTGCCATCCACGACCTGATAGTGGATGGAGGATTGACCTGGCGTGTGTGACAGAGACCTGGTTGGATGAAGCAGATGGGCCTGTTCTTGCCGCTGCTTGCCCACCAGGTTTCTCTTACGCACAGCAACCCAGGTCGGAGGAGCACCGGAAATAGCTTGTGCGCATGGGACGCGGGTGGCGCTGTGGGTTAAACCACAGAGTCTAGGACTTGCCAATCAGAAGGTCAGGGGTTCAAATCCCTGCGACGGGGTGAGCTCCCATTGCTCAGTCCCTGCTCCTGCCAACCTAGCAGTTTAAAAGCACATCAAAGTGCAAGTAGATAAACCTCTCCGGCGGAAAGGCAAACGGCGTTTCCATGTGCTGCTCTGGTTTGCCAGAAGCGGCTTAGTCATGCTGGCCACATGACCCGGAAGCTGTACGCCGGCTCCTTTGGCCAATAAAGCGAGATGAGCGCCGCAACCCCGGAGTCAGCCACGACTGGACCTGATGGTCAGGGGTCCCTTTACCTATGCACAAGTGTTATTTGCGCATACGCAAGTGTTATTTCTGGTGCACATCCGGGTCGGAGGAGGCCCGTGCACATGCGCACAAGCTATTTCTGGTGCTCCTCCGACCTGGAAGTGCGCCATAAATAGAGTGCGCGCACGCGCTCCCCCGCTCTCCGGCCTGCTGTACGATCGGCGCTGGAGACACCGGCCCGAGGCGCTGTAAGTTTGCTGACCCCTGGGCTAAGAGATTATCTTTAGCATAACCGCGAGCAGACGGGAACCTAAGCCCGAGTAGCACTAGTGCAGGGGATTTTCAATTGTTTTCTTGTATATCAAGCTTATTTCTTTGAAGATAGCATTCCAGGAGGGTTTGATCATGTAACACCACCACATATGGAAATATGTACCTTTGACCGTGCATCCCCTCCGGCAATTGGGATTGACTTCCCTACATATTCGGGATAACCTCACCCGTGTATATCACCACCAATGCTGCCCTTATTTTTTGAAGAAACTGATTTCAACAGTCCCCTTACTACAAAGTCACCCATTTTTCATTTGGGATTTGCACATCTATGTCCAATTCCTGCAACATTTTTGTGTACAATAGATTGCCA